ATACTGGTCTCTTAGAGCAGTGGTTCTTAACGTGGGCGATAATGCCCCCCAGGGGGCAATTTCATTTTTCAGGGGGGCAGTAGAACGAAAAGGGGCGGTGTGGGGGCGCTGGAGCAGAAGGGGGGCAGTAGGGGGCGCTGGAGCAAGCCAAACCTGCTAAGATGGCTGCAGCCTTTTTACAGTGTGCATGAATATATATTTTCCTCCAATCTTAATTTAGTTTCAGAGTTTTTGTCTTGAAATTTTTAGTTCCTGCATTGCGGTTTGTTTTTATGCCCTTTTTATATTTCTTTTTGCGTCTTAAAATTCACTTACAACTAAATAATTAAATGTTACTTTTTGGGAGCATTTCATTTTCTTGGAATTGAATTTTGTTTTCAGCGGTCATTGGATTTAAGTGTCTTAAATAAGTAAGTAAGTAAGTAAGTAAGTAAGTAAGTAAGTAAGTAAGTATCCAGAGCTTCTGAAATAATTTCAAAAGTTTCCGTGTTAGCATTACTTCTAACAAAAATGTTATTTGTGAGTAAAGAATAACACAAGTGCTAAAAGCATATTACTTTTTAATATTTTTAAAAATCACTTGGAAATGGAAAAGGGATAAAAGACTGCATGGAGAAGGTGAAAGATAAAGGAAATACAAAAGAGTTTGGGAGGAGAGGGGATTTCTTGTCTTAACACCATTCAGATAGAAAGGTGGACAGGGGAACGGAAAAGTAAGGAAGGGAAAAGTAGAAAAATGACAAAATTTGAAGAGATTGAAAAAAGACTGAAATTAGAGGAAAAGACAGAAAGAAAAGGAATTTTAAGTCAAATATATAAATTATTAATTCAGGCTGAACAGGATGCACAAAGATTAAAAACACAGTGGCAATATGATTTGGATAAAGAAACAGTAGGAGAAGAGTGGGATAAAATGTGGGATCAAATAATTATGAAGAATATGACTGTAAGGATAAAGAAAAACTTAGAAGGTAGTATGGAGGTAGTATTTAATGCTGGTGAAACTGAATATAATAAATAAAAATATCATCACTATGTTGGAAGGGTGAAAAAGGGAAGAGGACATATTTACATATGTGGTGGTTATGTGAAGTAAGTAAGAAAGAATGGAAGCAAATTTTTAAAGAAATATGGGAAATAATTGGATTAAATATTCAGATGTCCATGTCAATGGCTTTATTGAACCTGGTTAAGAAAGATCAATAGTTGAAAGAAAATAAGGATTTAATTTTAATAATGGTTATGGCAGCAAGGTTAATATTTGCAAGAAATTGGAAAAATGATAACCAAATTAATTTGGAGGAATGGTATAGAGAATTATGGGATATGGCAATTAATGATAAATTGACATGTGATATGAAAACAAGAGGAGATCTATCAAAAATAATTTTAAGAAAACATGGAGTGTATCGCTGGAGTATGTGTTTTGGAGAGGGAAGGGGTATACGCTGAGGGAAGAAACAATAAGTTTTTGGAGAGAGAATGGATTGAATGAATTTTAAAAATATTGTTAACGCCAGCACTGAGGGTGATGGTGGTACTGGTGTAGTAATTGTATTTTAATGTGGTGTTAGGTTTATGTTGTTTAGGTTGGATATTTGTTTAATTAAAAAAATATTTTAAAAAAGGAAATACAGTGGTGCCTCGCAAGACGAAAGCGTTTTGCGATTGTTGTGGTGACTCGCAAGATGGCTTTTTCTATAGCCGTGCTTCGCAAGATGAATTTTTCCCCACAAGAGCGATGTTTCGCAAGACGAAAATTTCGCAATACCACGCTACTCATGGAATGAATTACTTTCATCTTGCGAGGCACCACTGTACCAAAAAAAAGCTCAGAGTGACTCCTTCAGTAATGCTTTACAGTGACTAGTAAATGTTACTTACTATACCCCTTACAAAGTGATTACTTTGATGCATCTTTGTTACATAATAGGTAACACATTCATTCTGGGCTTTGAGACCAATTCCTTTGTTTCCTTCAAATCCTATGTTAGATGTTCACAGGAATTCACCTGTGATATTGCGTGATCTGTCAGTATGGGATTCCACAAGCCTTTACTGATAAACAAAATTTTACAACTTTTGTAGGGGTTCTTAACTCAGGACTCTATTTGGCAGAGTGCTAAGAGACTCTATGAGCTTGCTCTGTGCCATATTTGGAGAAGTTTGTACATAGACTTTTAAACTTCTAATTTTTATTTCAACAAAGAGATTGCCCTCTTATGAACTTGTTTTGCTCCTATTTTAATAGTGTGTAACCAATTCAGTAGTTATTTTTTCAAATGCTAACTGAAAGAAAATTGCTTCCTCCGGTGTGCTCCTTTTTATATTTGAAACAGATCCATTCTGTCATTTTACATGACCTTTACGATGCTTGTTTTCCATGGGAAATCTCTAATAAAGTTTAGCTTATTGAAGTATTCTGTAGTAGTTGGCTAAATTTCTTGCCAGTACTTGAGGACAATAACTTTGTGTGTGCCATTCAGGTGTATGTGGCTGGCTTCTGAGCAAGGGGGAGGATCATAGTCTGGCCACAGGAATAAGTGCATCTGGGTATCAAAAAAGTAAACCATGAGGGGGAAAGAAACAGTAGCCTCAAAGAGAGAGGGAAGTATAAAGAGAGAAGCAGCAAGACAGAAGAGGCACAGGGGAAAGGAAAAGAGAGAGAAGGATTGGGCCAGAAAGGAGGAGGCGGAGCCACAAAGAAGAACCATAGAGAAAGTGAGATAGAAGGAGAACAGACCAATGGGGGAAGGAAAAGGCATGGAGTGATTGTGTGTGAGAGAGAGTGAGATTGATAAAGAGAGAGAGGTGACCACCTGAGAGAGAGGAAGAGTGCTTTTCTAGAACATCTTTGGGCCACGACAATCCAAAGCAGTTCTTCCCTCAACATTAATTTCTTGCCTTTTCAGATATTTAAATAGTGCAAGCTAGTGCCTGCTATTTTAACGTGCTCTTCATTCAGTTTAACAGGATTTATTCCCAAGAGGTACTTTTAGCCTGTAGTTCTGCCCCTGTGAACTTAGCACTAAGTCTCTTTCATGTGAATGAGATTATATCTGGGTAAGAAAGTATATTAGGATTGCAGCCTCACCACAGCAGTAATTATCACTGATCTTGGTCAGATTTCCTTCTGAGTTTCCTGGCAGGTTGGACAACGTTCAGCCATAGCATCCAGAAGCATTTATTACTTTGGGTGACCATACATACACATGAGCCTACTCAGAAGGGAGGAAGACTTTCTGAATCCAGTGGAACTGATTTCCATGTATAAATGTGTATGTTGCCTAGAAGTCCAGATGATTTTTTTCCATTGTAAATTTACGCTGTTAAATTTATGTTTTTAAAAAACGGAAATAATTATCATTCCCCAATGAGTTTTCGTGGCCAAGTGGAGATTTGAACCCAGGTCACCCAAATTCTAATAGAACTCTGTTAAGTACACACCGCCTCTCTTCCATGTAGTAAGAGAAAAATGTTCTTTCAGACGCAACAATATATTGCACAGCAATATATTGCGTGACAGCTGCACCTGTTCCTGGAGAGGTCTGACCTGGTCACAGTTACACATGCCTTATTTTACCTGAGCTATTGTCAATAAGTGACTATTGCAAGGAGAATTTTCTTCATAGCACCTAATAACTCAGAAATCCATTTTTGAATAGAGGATTTCTTCTAGGTATTTGGGCTTCTTTGTGCCCCAATCAATAAATACCTAGAAAACCTGTTGAAAAACAGCCATGGCCGTTGCTTGTGTGTTTGGGTAACAAGTGGTTGACTGATAAAAAAAGGAGTTGAGTTCTGGAATATTCCCTCGCTTGGTGTCTCTTTGTGAATGATAGAGAGCACAAAAGGGAATCCTGTACACAATCTTGACTGCTGCCACTGGTGGTGTAAATGTACAGGCTGGCCTTTGCTAGGTAGAGTTGGTATTCTTTTTTTCTGTTGGGAACAGGGGTACAATATTGTAAAGTCAGACCATTCCCTGGCATTTGAACTGTAGGCACAAAACCAGTATCCCAAATTTACAAACCAGAGGTGGGTTTGTTTTTTAAAAGATCAAATTTTTATGACAAACCCAGTGCTCTGAGAGTTGGTCTTCATGTAATCAAAATGGTGAATTCGTATCACAAGAGGATTAATTATTAGCAGGCTTGGGGATGCTTCATGCTTTGCAAAAATAAAAAAAGTGTGTTTGAAAGGGCAAAAGCCAACTAGCCCTCCCAAGAAACAGTGCTGGGGGGACAAAATATATGCTATCTGTTTGTGGATGAAGGAATGATAACTGAAAAGCAGGGTGTAAAAGTAGACAGTTAGAAGCCATAACAATCTTAGTTCCTCAGATATTCTTGGATGCCACTCCCAGAAATCCTGCCCAGCTAAGAATTTAGGGAATTTTAGTCCAAGAACATCTTGGGACCCAAGGTTGCTTTAACAGGAGCAGTCAATGCATTGACATTTTGTGATGGGCCCCACACGGCTCTCTTTAATGACCGCCTTTCCTACCTTACTTTTTCAGTGGTGCATTTTCACTGCTGAAAAAGCCCCAGGAGGCTTCCGAAAGCGGCGCTTTGCCGGGGTGGGGGTGTGGTAGGGGCAGGCCATCATCGCAAAGCAATTTTTCCCTATAGGGAACGTCGCAATGCGATCGCAAAAGCGATCACAAAATCTTCATCACTATGTGGATTCCTTGTTAAACGGGGCGCCCGTTAAGCGAGGCACCACTGTACTTGCGAATGTGTGCATAGTGCAAAATGTTCAGGCTGGGGACCTTTTGACTTGCCTCACTTGCACTCCAGGGTTATGCATCATGTGGAGACAAGAGTTGAGTAATTACATATTTTTGTGAGCTCAGCTGAGGTAGAGCTCAGCTCATCGCCGGAAGCTTCCTTCTCTTGCCTCTTTCCAACTCGTGTAGCACCAGGGTTCCTCGTATGCCATACATGGATTTTATTCCCACGCCAAAGGGCAACCATTCATTGTTTCCTCTCTGTTCCCAGGTCCGTCACCCTGTAATCTGTGCCAACAACCACGTGTTCTGCTCCATTTGTATCGAAGTTTGGCTGAAGAACAATAGCCAGTGTCCTGCTTGTAGAATCCCTATCAGTCCAGATAACCCTTGCAAAGAGGTCCTTGGTAAGGATCATCCTCTCCCCAATATGTGCAGAATATTTCATTTATATGCTGAAAAGCAGGATGGGGATAATTTTTGTTGCTGTTGTTTCAGGGCTGTCCCAAAAAGGTGCAGGCTAAAAGTCTGGGGAGGCGCCCTTTCTCTCTCTCTCTCTCTCTCTGCCATCCCTTCCCTCTCCTCCTCCCAGCCCACTCTGTTCTTGCTCTGGTACCCTGTTCTTCTGCCACTACCTTCTCCCTCTCCCTTTTGCTGCTTCCCACCCCCCTTTTTGTGCACTTGTGCTCTTCCATCTCTTTCACATTCTCCCCTGCCAGGGAAAGGACAGGTCATCCTTGCCAGAGGTTTGAATGGAATGCATGCCAAGCCTGGAGGCACGTGAAATTAGGCTGAAAGGTGTAGGTGGCCAGGGATGGCAAACCTATGGCACGTGTGCCACAGCTGGCACGCAGAGCCCTTTCTTCTGGCACACGAGCCATAGGTCGCTACTCCCTCCACCCCCTCTCACAGCCAAACTTCATGAGGCAGCTGCAGCCGGGATTCCCCCTTCCACTGCTACTTCCGGGTCCTCAGGGTCCATCACCATGATTCCCCCTTAAAATGCCACTTCCGGGTCCGTCGCTGCCACTATTGCGGCGGGGGGGGCCCGCCATCAGCTGTCCCCCCCCCCCCCCCAATTTGGGCACACGAGCCCAAAAAGGTTCACCACCACTGTCTTAATGAATGGTATGGAATCTGTGATGCCCCTTGTAGCGAAGTTTACCCCCCCCCCCCCGCTCAATGCTGAGGGCTTCTGTTTTCAATTCAGAACAATCTGAATGTTTTTCCCCCTGTGATCAGTTGTTTCATTCTCCAAAAGGATGGAGACTGTGATTGTGGGTGGTATTCTGGTGATGTACTAACCTAGGTGTGATGTTTTGGACTGTGGAAACACCCACCCCTGTGATCTTTCTCTATAGTTGCTCCAAAGAATTTTTTAAGCTTTAAAAAAACGCACTGCAGAGTTTAGTGCTGCATCACTTTATCAGTGCATTTATATATTACTTTAGCACTAGATCACCTCTGCACAAAAATATGTATGAAATAACAAAGAATTACAGCAGACTACTGTGTTTTTATGCTATGTTTATATGTGTTTGTACATTATGGAGAAAAACTTAGGAAAATGTCCCTTTTCTCTAACACTGTGCAACACTTTGAACAGCCCACTGGCTTTACAGTGAATCATAAAATGAGAGTAAAAATCTCAGCGGAGAGCTGGATCAAAGGCAGAGGTGCTGTGGTACAGATCAGGCAACATCAGATTGAGGGTCTAGTGTGGATCTTGGCACAGAAACACGCTGATCACCTGATCTGATTGGAAGGACAAAATGGGCTGCAAATCAAACCAAAGCAAAGCCGAATCGCTCCTATTTAGCTTGCCAGTGTAGTTGCAGGCTCTGTTTCTGAAAAAGGGTCAGCAGTGTAGAAATTTGCAGAGTTGGCCTGCGTGCCTCACCCCTCTTGCCACCTTGCAACAATGTCCTGACTTGTGCTTATTTGTTGGCTTGGCTGTGGTAGGAACCTGAGCTGTGTGACCTAAGCATGCGGCACCTCTGTGTGTGTGTGTGTGTTATTTTGCTTAATGAATATTGAATAGAGATCAACATGTTGTGTTGCTTTAGGAGGAACAAGCGAAAGTAATCCTGTGTTTAGCCCTGTGATCAGAAAACAGCTCCGCAAAACGAGGCTTGAGATACTGCACAAAGAGTATGAGGTAAGAGTCTACAAAGATTAATATCAAATGGTGTGATTTGTAAAGATTGCCTTGTATGAAACTTCCCCTCTTGGAGCGCGGTTCTTCTAGAACAGGCACACACAGGCACTCTCCTGTGGTAAAGGACAAGAGGGACTTGATCACTTTGCAATGGAATGAGAATGCCTCAAGATCTAGCTTCCATTATTCTGGAGATGCCTCATAGAGTGTAAATTTCCTCTGTAGTCAGTATTATAGGAAGTAGGGCCAACTTGTGTGGCGTGGAACCGTGGTTCTCAGCCTTTGACCCTGCAGATGTTCTCGACTTGAACCCCACAGATTCTTGGGTCTGCTTCCTAGGGATTCTGGAGGTGAAGTCCAAAAACATCTGGAGAGTCAAAGGGTGATGACTGCTCATATAGGTCATATGAAAAAGAGGGACACAGAGTTTTTGGAAGGATGATTACTGTGTGTGCCTAGATTTGCATGTGCTTGCTGCAGTCAGGTGTATCAAATGTGTACAGGCAGAGAAACAGCTGCTGTTATGTATGACTATCTGCAAGCGAATGGTACACTTTGTTTAGTCCTTCTTTTGCTTTTCATTTCCACCCTTATCAAATCAGTCATGGGGACAAAGAAAGAACCAGGCTGGTGGTTCATATTCAGACCCTGTCAATGGCATTAAACAAGTTGCACTCTCTGATGGCATCAATGCCACATCTGTATTGCAGGGATAATAGTGGCCTAACTCTGATGGTAGGAACAGCTAACTTCTGATTATCTAAATACTGTGAGATTGCAATTCTTGGCACCCTTCGTTTTTGGCTATCGTGGCTAGATACAAGTCGCTCACCCCATTTAGGCTAATGGGGAGATGTTGGAAGTTTTTTCAGTAAAGACTGGTGGGTCATCTTTCAGGGATGCTCTTGTTCTGCAGTCACTCAGGGTTAGATTAGACAACCTTTCATGATGCCTTCCAAGTCTGTAGTTCTAATTAAACAGTGCTGCGATCTGTACTTTCAAACATAAAGCTGTAATAACGTCTGTCTCCTTTCTTCACCTTTTTTCCCTCTTGCTTCTTCTTTTAAAAAAAAACACCACACAAACCCTCACACAACTGGCAATGGGTTTGACACCCTCCAAAGGATGAGATTGAATCTCTGCAGAAAGAGATGGAAGAGCTGAAAGAGAAGAACCTTAGCTTGGAGTCCCAGCTGAAATCTGTTCTGTGCCCCCTGACATTGGATGTGTCAGGAAAAAAACAGGAGAGTCCTCCGCTCTCAGACGAGGAGCACAAACCTGATCCTGAGATGTTGGCACTGTGGACCCAGAAGCTTCAGGCAGCGAATGATCTGTATGAAAAAGCGAAAGATGACATGGACAAGTTAATGGAGGTAATAAGTGTCTCCTAACCTGACTGAGGAGGCATCTAAATATTTAATATTCCATGACCTTTGAATCATTCTTCAACGCTCAGAAAAGTGAAGTAGGTCTGGCAGGTCCATCAATTGACCTTGTGTTATCTGACCACAATCAAATATTCTATGAAATTCTGGGGAGTCCCGTTAAAATGGCAGTTCTGCCTCACCTTTAGAATGTTGCCATGTAACTTTAACATCTTGGGAGCAATACTCTTTAGCAGACCTTTGAGCAGATATCTCTTTTTTGGACTACAACTCCCAGAATCACTCGGAATGAATTTGGCTTACATGTACAGTGGTGCCCCGTATAGCGACGTTAATCCGTTCCAGGATTAACATCGCTATACGGAAACATCGTAAAGCGAAATTAAAAAGCCCATTGGAATGAATTTGGCTTACATGTATACTTCTTGGTCAGACCAGGGCTCCAAAACCTTGCAGTGTTTCCCTCCAGCAGGTCTGTGCCCTCTTCATGAATCTGCACAACTAAACACGGTCTTCCCCAACATGGTTCCCTTCTGGTGCTTTGGACTTCAGTTCCATGGCCAGAAGTCAACAATGCTGGGATTTGCTGTGCAAAACATTTGGGATTACAGAAAGCCCGGGACTGTAGAAAGATCAACGAGAATTGTAGGGAACGGTGTTGGCAGCAAGCAGCTCGCTTTGTCTCTGATAAGAGCCTTCTGTAAATGGGGATACCACACTTCCAAAGACTCTTTTCCCAGGTGGAGGTACCTGCCTTGCAACAGACAGCAGAGCACCCAGAGGAAGGCCTCCAAAGAGATGTTAAGCATATCAGTGTTTTTTTGTGTAATGAGGCAACCCTTCAAGTCCCAACTCATGTGGTGTTTTAAAGGTAGCCCAGTACTAAGACTCTTGAGTCCTGCCCAGAAATAGAGTTAGAACCCCTGCATGATGTGTTTACCTCACTCAGTTACTGAGTACCTTTTAAAATGCAGTGGGGAGGGATCAGCCCATGGACCACATGCAAGTCCAACCCTCCATTTTTTTTGCCAGCATCGCCTTCTCTGACTCCCTACGAAGAGTACGGAGTTTTTCACCATTTTTAGAGGAAGTTTAAGACCCTGGACTGTGAGCTTTGACCCTAGTACTGAAAACAAGTGATGAGACTGAGCATGCCATGTTCTGTAATTCTATGCCCATCTTGTGGGGCAACCGTTTTGCATCTTGCATGAGCTGCTGCACCTTTCAGGCTGTAGTGGAAAAACAGAGTAGATCCTGCTAGCCACTGATCTGCCTACTCTGCTTCATGCTACTGAGAGAGATCACTGTGGCCAAGGCCACACCTCCAGTCTTGGCTCCCTAACTCTGAGCTGTGGAAACTCCAGATCTGAGCCTCTGATGACAAAGCTGGGTGTAAGAGGCACATCTGGACTCTCAACCGGCCAGTTTGGAGCAAGCCACTCACCAGCAGTGCCTCTGTCTAGTTTGGAGGAGGCCCTCCTTGACAGGCAACTTCTGAAATCCCTCAGGCAGCATGACAGCTTGGTTATATAATCCAGAAGAGTAGCTTTTCTGAGCTGCAGCAATGACCTCAAGGCAGCACTGATGACATGACACAGGCATAGACTAGAAGTCCCCTGGATTAACAAGGTTAGTTTCATTTGCTGTTAAATTACATGCTGAAAAATGAAATTAATAGCATTAATATTTTAGCAGCCAAGGTGGTATAATGGATGGACTGATAGACTAAGACTCTGGAGACCTGAGTTCAAATTCCCACTCGGCCATGGAAACCTACTGGAGGTGGCATTGCGAAAACAGCTCCTTAAATATCTCACGTATCTAGAAAGCCCTCAGAGGGCCACCATAAGCCAACTGTAACATGACATCACACAGCAATAACATGATGCTTTACCAGTGCTTGACTGGTCAACCATCACCCCTTTTTCCCCTTAGAACCCAAAATAAAACATTGACTGTTAGTGTCATTAATTGCCTGTTTTGTCCACAACTTTTTTTTGTCAATCCAGGAGCCACTAATTAAGTTAGACTGGCTTTGCTTGTTCAGTATTGATGACCAGATTTCCCCCATTCTCCCGATAATCTATGGAATGCATCCAATTGGCATTCTTGGGATTTGCATAAATCTTTCTTTCTTTGGTTTACCGATTGCTGAAATGACCTCACATTTCTTAGTGATTTAAAGCCACACCATTGAACAAATGTATTTGTAAACTACTATTGGCCATCCAGTTGGAGGGTCTTGGATATTGTCTGCTCCACAAAAGTAATTTTTACCAACTCTCCATGGAATTCTGGACATATGGACTTTCTTACATGGATATTGGAGAAAAGTTCAAATACCCAACAAATTCAAGTGATACTGCTTTCCTTGCCTCCCTTACCAGTCAGATGACGAGAGATCTGCTTGACCCCCTCTTACCAGGAGGCGGCGGAAATCCTAAATATACCAACAACAACAACAAAACAGAATATTAGGAACAAGTTGTTCAGCCAGTCTGCACAAAGCCAAGAATATGAAATTATAGATAGCCACTAGTGATAGTTGTGTGCTGTCAAGTTATTTCTGACATGGGGACCCTTTTTGGGGTTTTCCAGGTAGAGGATACTCAGGTGGTTTTCCATTCCTTTCTGCTGGGAGTATCCTGGAACTGTGCAGCTTGCCCAAGGCCACGCAGGCTGGCTTTTCTGGTAGGGAACAAGGTACAACACAAAATTCAAAAGTTGCATCAGCTGAACCCTTTGAGTTCATAACCCCTAGTCAGTCCTTCCTTGCCTGAATAAGCTCACCGTGCTTCGAAGAGAGTGACTAACTCTCTCCCTGTCACTTGTCATTTTCTACATCTGGGAAATGAGTTTGCCAGATGTTTCTCCTTGTGTGAAATCAAGACCCTGACTTGCCACTGTATTTATTTATTTCCTTTATATCCCAGCTTTCTCTCCCTTTAAAAATCCAAGGTGCTTTACAAAATGACGGGTGGTTGAAAAAGGGAAACATGCATTAGAATTCTAAAAATGCCATGAAAGGTTATTTATAATATCAAGCAAGATTTAAAAGAACAACTTTTTGAAGAACAGATTTAAAACATTTTCGAAAGCTGGTTCCAAACTAGTTTCAAAGACTGAGAAGCATGGGGAACGATACTGTCTTAGCCACCACCCAGAAACTCAGAAAGGACAGACCCAGTCAGGTTGCATGGGAGAGGGATTTACGCAGTTCCAAAGACAACCTTGTATCATATACTGAGTAGTCTAGCCCTTCAGAGTGGTGGGATTGTCCATTGAGGATCTTAGATTCTGGGTCGGCTCGTGTGAGAAGGAAGACGGTCCTTTATACACTGTGCATTCCATGTCCACATTTTGGGCGAGATAAAGTAAACCATTAGTATTTCATTGGAAGTAGAAGCAAGAGATTTCCTGTTTAACCTTTCCCAGTTGAAAGAATGTTTTAGTCATACTTTTCCTCAGCCGGAGACACCATATGTGTGGCCCTCAAGATATATATTTGGATGGCAACTCCCATGAGCCTTTGCCAGTAGCTTTGCTGACTTTGGTTGATGGGAGTTGTAGTCCAGCAACATTGGAGCCCCCCCCCCCCAGTCCCCTTGCCCTGGTTCCAAACAACACAACTAGACAGTAAGTGGCTTTTTCTTCATTCATGCTTGCATTCTTCCTTCTCACATATCCTACTTGGATTTAACAGTGGGGAAGATGTTGACTTTATTGTGTGAGACGGAGAGTCTGTAAATCAAGAGGCTTAATAATAGCAACATTCTAGAAGTAATACCAAAAGAGAGATGGCAACTAAGATGTCATCTTGTATTTGTTTTCGGTTCTGCATGTCTGTTCTTTAAAAAAAAAAAGCCACCAGGCAATCTTAGTCTGCTTGGGAGAGTAAGGAAGCTGTTCAACATTCATTTTGCTGATACCTGCACATTGTAATGTTAATGCATTTAAAGTATTTAGTCATGTGAAGAAAGGGAAGGGGGGGGACATGGAATTACCATTAGTATTTCCCCCTTAATGACTGTCAGACTGAACTAACACGGCTCTGTTTATTTCCCTGGGTAGAAGCCTTGTGGCGTATTTTGGGAATATAAATTAAAAATGGCCGTTCTTCCCTTCAGTTTTTTGCAAGCCATTTCCCAGGGTAATTTTTAAGTGGTGTCCCTGTCTGGTGGGGGGAGAGAAGTGGGGAGGAAACAGTCTGGGTTAACTGTTGCTGCTCTAATATGTGCCTTCTTTTAAACCCTCAGATGGTTTCCCTTTTGAACTTGAGTTGCCTGGGGTGGTGGTGGTGGCTTGTGGCCCTGGTACTGCTGTATGCTTAACAACACTCTCTTTCCATGCAGGTAAATAAGAAACTGAGGCTTGAAAACGGTGGTCTTCTGAGGGAGAACTTGAGGCTAAAGGCTGAGGTTGGAAGCCGATCACCCCAGAAGTATGTAAATATTTTAAACTCTGCCATGCATTATTCATTTGACTGTACTTAACTCTTGGAGGGCTGTAATCTGGTGTTCCGAGGATGCCAATCCTTGGGGTAGGTGAGCAGGGTTGTCTTTCTGTTAGAGATGTATTATTATCCTGCCTTTCTGCTGAGTTGTTCTCATACACTCAAAAGAATGGAATCTTTACTGAAATTTAAAGTTGGGTAAGTTGAATGATTCAGTTGAAAATGCAGTGAAAGAGACAGCCAGCACCTAACCCCACGGAACGGGTCTTTATCAACAGGCCAACAGCCAAGACAGAGGCCTGCCTGGATGAAGAGGGTTTTGCCTATTGGTCAAAGGACAGCCAGCAGGGAACAAACTCAGCCTCCCTAAGCAGGGGGTGCCAAAGGTCAGGAGTGACCACAGATAATAAAACAGCACTTCAGGATGGGTCCTCTCCTTAATGCCCCTTGCACTTTCTTTACTGAATATAATGATTTTAAAAATGGTATTTTTCAAACATGGAATGCTGTTTCTAATACTGTATTTGCTGGCGTATAAAACTACTTTTTTGCCCTGAAAAACATGCCTCCAACTGGGGGCGGTCGTCTTATACGCCGAGTGCACTTCAGTTGGGATAGACATAGCTGCCCCTAGTGGCCTTCCGATGCTTGCCCGGTGCCCATAGTAGCCTCCCGATGCCTGCCCATCTCATTCTACATACCGTCCAGTATCGCGCGGTATCCAGCGCGGCTGCGGCGAGCATCATCAGCAAGACAGGGGTGCCAGCCTTTTCGGCGTGACCGGCCCGTTCTGCTTGTCAGGAAGCAGCGGTGCTCCAGCCCACCCCTTGTCTACGCAGAGCTCACACATGCGCAGTTGCGCACTAGTGCCGGTCACGGAGATGCAGGAGCGGGCCGGAGGTACAATGAATAGCACCTTTTTTTTGGTGTGTGGAAGGTGTGTGGAAAAGGGGGTAGTCTTATACGCCCAGTCTTCTTATGCGCTGGCAAATACAGTACGGTAGTTTTCTGTACTCATCCTGCTATCACCACCCAACCTCCTTCATTTATACATTATATGACAAATATGTATCTCCTGTCTTCTGACTGGACTCCTCAAAGCATTTCCCAGGTCTTCTGTCAAATGGCAGTGTAGTGGATCCATGAAAAGTAAGCAGCTCTGCAGGAGCAGGTGCTTCCTCACTCCGCTTCATTGTCCCACGGCCTCCATCACAGAGCCACTGGGTTTGGATGGTCTTTGGTAAGGGAGGGCCAGTCCAGCTGGAACTGGAGCTTACCTCCTTTTCTCTGACAAGTAATTTCCTCGCAGTGTAGTTGGTTTGGACAGCTTTGTGTTTAAGGGTTCACTCTTGATCACCACAGGTGAGAAGGAGTTCTGCAGGGGCAGGTTAACGGAACAATGCAGAAGAGAGGGAATCATCTGTCCCACTTCCACTGGCCTGCTGCATTTCCATCCTAGTTAATGGGGAAGGAGAAGCCTTTTCAACATGAAAAAGATGGATTTCTTAGTGAGCTAACTGGAGAGGAGGATATTATCTGCTTGTTCTTTGTCTTTAAGGCTGCCGCTTTTCTGGCTTATTGAGAAGTTGGGATTGAGTCGAGGTCAGCCCAGAATCACCTTGAATGGGGATTTGATCCCAAGTCTCCTTGCTCCTTTTGCAGTGTGGTTTTGGCCAGTGTCTCAAGAAATCTCCTCTTTTCTCTTGCTTAGTTAGTTCCGCGAACAAAGTGACTTGCCAGCAGACTGCAATGTGGCTGTTGGATTGTGTTTGGACCATAAATTTGAAAACTTGGGGGCATGCAGGGGGGAATACTTCATCAGTTTCTTGGGCTGCTAGTCTGTGACCAGTCACTATTTTCTTTTAAGTGCAGTAGTTTCGAGGAAGTTACTGCACATGTGTGTAATGTTTTGTGTTTCTTGCAAGAGTTGTTCTAGACCAGTGATGGCGAACCTATGGCACGCGTGCCACAGCTGGCACACAGAGCCCTCTCTGTTGGCACACAAGCCATAAGTTGCCATAGAGAAATACCCATCCTCCAATCCTGGATTTCGGCACTCCCCTCTGATGGCACAGTGGTCTAGCGGAGGGATGCAATGGCGACAGTTTTTTTATCTAAATTAAAATTTCAGCATTCGGGTTTTAATTGCAGTATTGTCACTTTGAAATAATTAGTTGATTTTGTGTTGCAGTTTGGGTTCTCGGGCTCAAAAAAGGTTCACCATCACTGCACTAGGCACTCAAAGGTAGCCACTGCCCTCAAGCAGGAAATTTTGCAGTACCAGTGTATTTTTGCCATCTATTCATGGCATAGATCCACATGAATTTTAATGTGCGCTCATCTCCAAATCATTGCCCATCTCCATTTCTTTGGTTGTGGCACTGGTGTGAGAGGTTGGACTGGAATCTTCTTCGAAGTGGCATATTTTCTCCCCACTTCTACTCTGCAAGGAGCTGTCCATGGAGTGCTCATGGTGTTGGTGATGAAGATGAGGCTTGCCAGGTCTCAGAAAATGAGCTGCTGTGTTTATAGAAATGTATTTCCTGATATCTGTACATACTGATGATTATCATGCCGTTATCAGGTGCATTTTCATGTAATGGTGAGTCAAAGCCTTTTGAAATCAATTTGGATGAAGATTTCTGGACCTAACAAATCTGGATCCTCAAAGATCTGAGAGCCGAAATAACCAGATGATGATAGACCACTGGAGAGTCAGGACTCTGAAGACCCAGTGAACATAAAAGGCCCTCTCTCTCCTCTAAGAGTGGGTATCCTCAGCGGAGACAATGGCCTGGTTCAGCTCCAGCAGGATGCCTGCCTTCTGGTCCCTCGTTTCTCCCTGGGGAAGAGGAAGCTTCGGGCCCTGCAAGGGAAAGAGAGAAAAATTCAATTAAAGGGGCGAGCTCATCCACTGCCGTCAACCGGCTTCGACTCAGGCGTATTCACTGACCAATGTTCTGGCAACTTCATCCCAAAGTTCCACCTGCCAACATCCACTGGCTTCCACCAGGAATATCCACCCGTTCATCTCTTCCACTCCACTTCTGAAGCCAGCCTCCACCAGCTCCTGAATACTTGGGTCACACACATGCCCTGACGACATCCGCACGGAATGCCAGCCAGCCCATTCACACACATTCACACACACGCACACACACCAGTCACTTCCTGACACGCACACACCTTCACTCCACCAGCCATTCACACATACACCCAGGCTTCCATCCACCAATATCCACCAAGCTTCCACCAGCTAGTTTCAGGAGGCTAACGTCCCCCGGCTTCATCTGCCAACCTCTGCTGGCCTTTGACTTGTGGCCTCAGCCAGCTTCTGCAGGGAGATTTCACCAGCTTCTGTCTGCCAACGTCCACTGACTTCCCCCAGGTCCATCGCCGACATCAGCCAGCTTCAAGCCATGGATCTCAGCTAGCCTCAAGCTGTTAACTCGCAAGCCCACTTAGCAAATTAATTTGCCTTCACAAGAGACCTTGCCTTGGCAGAAGGGCTGGTCCCCTGCAGCCACTGCCACTCTCTCTGCTGGACTGCCCTCTGGCCACTGGCCTCTCTTCTGGTCTCCTGCCCTGCCCAGCCAGCCTCTTTTATCTTCCAGCAGAGAGGTGGGGCCCTGTGAGGTCACAAAGACCCAGGTGAGTGGGGTTGGGTTCCCAAGGCAGCAGCAGCAGCACCACCCTCGGGATTGGCCGAGTCCTGAAGATGATGTCAGCAGTCCCTCTGATCATGTGATTCATCCACAAAAGCTTGCATTGTGCATGATTTTATTTTTAATTTGTGGCCTATTAATGTACCCCCTTTCACCAATCCCTCTGATTGTTAAATCTCCCCATGGTGACCTTCTGACAGGATTCTAGGCTGGTGCTCCAAAAAGTTATCTTCCAGCATTTGCACCAAAAGGAATTTTCCTAAGCTCCGAGCTAGGGGAAAAAATGAAAGTAATAAATGAAGAAGGATGGGCACAGTCACACAATGAAGTCTTTGACCCTTTTTTTTCTTTGGCCTCTTTTTGGACATTTTTTTCTTGCCCTTGCCATGAAAAAGATATTATAAGGAGCCTGTTAAGAAAACAACCTAAGTTTTTGAAACACATATGAGTATTTTAACACCATCCCTGCACTATCAAAGATGCAGCTGTGTTTCAAAGACTCTCCCAGCTTTTGGAACTCCCTCCCACTGGAAGGCAGATATGCCCCACCAGTAAGTATTTATTTGTTAATACCACCCATGGGGGGGGGGGGGAACAAGCATTTAACCCTTGCAGTGCAGGAACAGTTGTTTTTTCTAAACTAAAACCTCAGCATTCAGACTTTAATTGCAGTATTGGCATTTTGAAGTAAATAAGTTGATTTTGTGTTGCAGTTTGGGCACTCGGGCTCAAAAAGGTTCATCATCACTGTTCTAGACTCTCACTTCTTCCTGGGGGAGGTATAGGCCTCATACCAGAAATAGAGACATGCACAAAATTGCTTTGGTTTACATTTTGATAGAAACCAATAAAATCTTGCAAGGTGCATTTCTCCATGAGAAATAATGCAAGTGTTGTTCTGCATTAAAGTGAATTGAATGTGGAAAAAGTGCACGTTCTAGACTCTCACTTCTTCTTGGGGGGAGGGATAGGCCTCATACCAGAAATAGAGACATGCACAAAATTGCTTTGGTTTACATTTTGATAGAAACCAATAAAATCTTGCAAGGTGCATTTCTCCATGAGAAATAATGCAAGTGTTGTTCTGCATTAAAGTGAATTGAATGTGGAAAAGTGCACGTTTTTATGTTGGCTTCGCTGCTCCATCACCTTAACCTCCCTTTAAGCATGAGGAGTTGGTACGAATAACATTAGATTTATGCTAATATGCTTCACTTCATTTGCAAAATCATAGAGAAACCTGTCTTGCTTCTTGGATTTGTAGGATTAACAGCTGAGCTGTATATTACTCTGATCTATGGCTGTTTTCTACCCTGCTGCAAT